GCAATCGCTATTAGGTTGGAGGCCATCGCTAGTAGGTTGGAGGCCATAGCTAGTAGGCTGCAGGCAATCGCTATTAGGCTGGAGGCCATCGCTGGCAGGTTGGAGGCCATAGCTAGGGCACTACAAGAAACAAGAGCAACAGCCCTCAGCCCTTCCCAGTCCAACGGCCCTTAGCTGGTGATGACAGTGTTGGAAACGAAGTCGAAAAGTCGGATAGATGGGATAGAGGGTCAAATGGTTGAGTAAACAGATTCAGGATCAGTTGCGAAAGAGTTCTTCTACACAGGGTGGCTGTCAAATGCGGAAAATAGTGGCTGAAACGCAACCACAAGAACAATACACAAGCAAAGACGAAGATCGGTAATGTGCTGCATGTAAAAGAACGGCTCATCCCACGCCCCACCCCCAAAAAAACACAAGAGCAGCTCCCACTGAAGTTAATCCCCGCGCGCATCAAAACCTACACACAAAATGGTGGTGTTGGAGTGCATCGCTTTATCAGTCTTCGGTCCTCACAAAGCCTCAAAGCATCTTCGCCAATGAGCTTTGCCTTGAACCTGCATAGCTGTTTGCAAACCAAATAGATCTGAACAAGATTCCTGAGCATGCACTCATGCATTGTGGCCTGCTACCAAGAGCCACTCTTAGCTTTGGAATACCTTTTGCAAGCATCGCTGAACAAATCAAGATTGAATCTTCCGTCAACAAGTTCCATGTCAACAAGTCCGTGTCCAGATTTTTGCCCAAGGTGCGGGACGACGGCACAAAGTGTGTTCCCACCTCTCAGCTTCGCGGGGCTTCGCGCGCACAGCGCGGGCTTCACGGGCAATGGATGCGCCACGGGCACGCATGGCTGAGGTTCCCACACCTGCCCTCAAAGCGTCCCAGGCCGCCAGTGTGGTGCCGGTCATGGCCATAAAGCCTTAGTTCCAATGAAGAAGTAGTAACATGTAGTATCCGACAGCAAATGCAGCAAAAAACATCAACTATCAAAGTCAGCCAAGAGACGTCCAACGTTGCCTCCTGCCTTCAAGCGGCTCAAGAGATATGTCGCACCTACCTGGGATGCAGAATCGGCCCGACCCGAAACTGACCTGATCATATTCAAACACATTCATCTAAGCCACATCGGGAAAAAGTCCAATGGCCATCTCAGGCATAGCCTCGAAGCCATCGAAAAGCACAAGTCCAATGGCCACAGTGCCGAATCGGACCGAAACCACCCGAAACCGCTGCGTCTGATCCACGCAGTTGAAGCGTTACGTTCTCACATGTGCATGACAAAATCTGACAAAAGTGGACGAAGAACAAGCCATGAATTCCAAAGGAACGAAGCGGGTCTTCTCCGTGACGATGCGAAAGGGGCCATGAGTTGAAAGGCCAACCCCGCCACCCATGGTAATTCCATCGCAAAGGCTCACTTGACAGCAGCCTGGCAGCGAAGGCAACGGCTTCGTAGAGCGTTGGAGCTCTCTGAAAGCAGCTGTGAGAGCGCTCACAAGTCGGCCTGTTCTTTCCAGCAGTGTTGCCAGTCTGAACATCACCCCATATTCTTCGTAGAAGAAGTCTGCTGGAAGAGAACCTCCAGCAAGTCCCTCCTCCACAGTTGTTCATGAAGAAACCTTTGAACAAAATGTGCTGTACACAGTAACCGCATGTGCTGAGTGTTTCGTTGGACAAGGCCTCGCGGATCATTTGCACATCGCCACCAGCGCAGAAAGCCTTGCCACCGGCGCCAGACATGATCAGGCATCCAACCTCCGATGGCGCTTCTGCTCAAGCACAAAGAGCTTCACAAAGAATGTCCAATGAACTGAACTGTGAAAATGGAAACCGTGGGAACTCAAGCATTGAAGAACATGTTCTGCAGCTTTTCATATGCCTTGCCAGCTTTAGCATCCAGCTGATCCAAAGCCCCATGAAGACATCGGATCCTTAGCCCGTTTGATTCATGCGCTGTCCAAAAGCAAAAAGCATCTTTTGCTGCGCTATGTTTCAAGGTTCAAGGGTTCAAAGATGCCAGTACAAATTGGACTATTTGGCACAGCTGGCAGCTGAAGCGCTCAAAAAACCGTCCACACTCTTCTGAATGCAAACCAATTCTTAAAAAGGTGGGCAAAGTCGCCGGCAATCTGGCAAGAGGTCCAAGGCTCATATTCAAGTTTAACGCATTGAGCTTTGAAGGTCGATTTAAAGTAATCTCGCAAACGCCATAGCCAGATGAGAAGCGAGTCCTTAGTGTCACTCCAATACGATGCGAAGAGTAACCCAACTAGAACAACCAAGACTCGAAGTTTCTGTCGGCATTGCGCGTTGCCCGAGTTTGAATGTGCTCTTGTAAGAGGTCAAAAAGCAAAGCGATGAACTTGTCATCAAGACCGAAGACCCACATTTCTGTCCTTTTGTTGCTCTCATGACTCTCATGATTATTTGTTCAACTTGCGTACGGTTCCTTCTTTGAAGCATTTGTTGTAGGCTTTGGCTGGAAGCGGAAGTGCAGGAGTGAAAGAACTTGGTTTGTCTATACCAGAGCTGCACAGTCTCGGAATCTTGAACTGCAAAAGCAAAAAGCAGCTCTGCTTCAGTCCAGCGCTTCAAGAGGCAGATGGGCGCATGAGCCTTGACCTTGAGCTGATGCAATGTCTCTGTGCAATGAGGCTTCTTGAATGGTGTCCACCAAAAACACGTGTCTCGTTTTTCTTGGTCAACGATCCTCAAAATCGTGTGCGATCTGCAGTAAGTTGTGTGAGTGTGCTCGTACAAAGCTAGCGCAAGACGTGATCGCCATGGAAATTTTGATAATTTGTGTTGCATATTGTCGTATTGTTGATTGATTCTGCCAACCTATGCCGAGCACTTGCATTCGTTTGCCCCGTCTACAATCGTTCGCCGTTTACTGCTGTGCTGCTGGCCAGGTCCCGCAAGCAAATCTCAGGTAAAGGGCCCAAGTCTGCAGTCCAAGGATGCTATGTACTAGCGATGGCCTCCAACCTAGAAGCGATGGCCTCCAACCTACAATAATCCTCCAATCGGACGCCCTCCAACCCAGGCTTGTTTTGGGATTACTCTATGAAGATCTCTTCATTCGTTCATGTAGTTTGGCTAGGATTGTTCAACGCAAAGTTAGGAACAATAAGTTGCAATCAGCATGTCCCATGAAGCAAGGAAGACCAAAGCATGGTGGCCATGACCAAGTCTCAAAAATAAGAGTGCCTTCTGCAGGTTGACCAGGCTCATCTTTCTGAAAAGCATCAAGAACTGGCTTGTGCTTGATCAACTCTCTTCATGTTGATGTGGTGACGTGTTCGAAAAAGAAGAAACCGGTCTCCTCGTCTGTCTTGATGGCACCATCCACTTTGACCTTAGAAAATAGAAGACAAAAAGATACAAAAAGTACTTCTTTCCTTCTCTCATCTTCTTTGCTCTGGGAGTGCTGGGCGCCAGGCCCAAATTCCTGGCGATTGAAACAAAGTGAAACGATTTCGAGCGTTCACGTCTTCTGCGAAAAGCACGGAAGGCTCCCACCTTGTGCTCCTGTGGGGACCTCCAACCAGCCTTCTGGACGGCCCTCTTGAAAACCTGTTGCGAGTGAAGCCTTCTTGTGAGGCCCTAGTGAGCAAAAGCAAAGTCCTTGGTGCTTCTCTCATGCCTCGCAGTACTGCACCTTTGGGCAATGATCCTATTCGCATCGAAGGATCCTCTGAAACAGGCTTAAATTAAAGGACGAACGACGAAAATAACAAAACTGGCCAGCACGTCTCAGCTGATGAAAAAGTCCAGCGAACACTCGGTCCTCTGTGGGCTCTCGGTAGATAAAGCTGCCAGTGGTGTCAGTGATTCGAAAATACCTGCCGCGCTCGGCGGAGAGTGCAAAAAAATCGCTGGAAAGGTCGTGGGTGTTCTTGTTCAATTATCGTCTGTTCTCGTTTGGATCTTATTTAGACCTGCCATGACCTGCCTTGCTTTCCTTTTGCAAACATATTCCATAAGGCTCCGACGACCCATCTGGTACAGCTTTCTCTTCTTCATCCTCCTCATCGGAGCCTTCCAAATCTTCCAAGTGACGGCTTGACAGTCTCACAGTGTTGCAGTCTCTGGTGGTTCTTACAGTGAAGGCCAGGAGCCCCTACAGTAGGAGCTTCTTGTTCCTAGTAGCGATGCCAGGAGCCCCTAGTAGCGTCCTTGCTTGTCGGAGTGCGCGTACAGAGTCGAAAATAGCATGACAGGCATGAGCTTCTCACCTTCTGTCTTTTTTGCCTCCTGACCGCACAAGCTGTCTTCATACCAAGCACAACGCTCACAAAATGTCACAAGCAGCCTGTCTCCCCTTCTCCATCGCTAGTAGGCTGGAGGCCATCGCTAGTAGGTTGGAGGCCATCGCTGTCCCCTTCTGCCTTTTTCTCCTTGCTCTCCACCTTCTTGTTTTCCTCGGTCTCCCCTGAGTCGCCGTCGACAACCTCCACGGCGTTGACGTCTTTCTTGGCATCCCGCTTGAGCCTCGTTCGTTCAAGTTGTTCCACATTAGAACTGGTTCCTTCCCCCAGCAAAAACACGGGTGAGCAAACCAGTCAATGAGGCCCAACACGCTTCATGGTTCAAGGCCCAAGCATTTGCTCCTGCCGGGCTGAAGGCTCTTCCTCTTCCTCAGAGTCTGATTCCTGGTCCTGAAGCAGGAAGTGCTAGTTCCGTGGACTGCGGGCACCTAACAAAGCAGTTCAACCTTTTCTCAGCCACGCGTTTCTTGGAGTCAACCTCTCGAACTGTCCAAAACATCCCAACAAGTCCTTGAAGCCTCCTGCTAGCAATGGCCTCCACCCTAGTAGCCACCAACCTAGAAGCGATGGCCTCCAACCTAGTTACTCTCGAACCAACAAATCCGAAAAAGGCCACACTGATTTGCTTAGAAGGCCCGCTGTCCTGATCGAGTCCCATCATCAGCTCCTCAAAGAGTGTTTTGATCTCGGCGTCCTGGTGGATGAAGCTTGTCGCGCGCAACAAAGACTCGAAGGAAGTAAAAAGAAGTCATGGATGCCACAGAAAATCTCCTCAGGATGAACAAAAATGGACCTTGAAATGGAATTAAATGGAACGGTTTCGCTCGACTGGAAAGATACAAGCTGGCAAGCAAACATTGTAGCGCTTTGGCTCTGTTTTGGTGTCCTTTCTTTGCTCACCCTGCTCCTTTCTTTCGCCTCACTTCTGAGCTCTTCACCGGTCCACCTCGGATTTCTTGGCTGCTTTGAAGTGGACGTCCAGCGTCACATCGAGACCTGCCGTTTTGCTTCGGAGTCACCGTGTGGTTTGGTTCCGCCGTTCCGCAATCCGCCTGCGTAGGAGTCGCACATGGCGAAAACGGTCCACTCAAACTCACCCGGTCTAGGAACCTGAGAAGCTTTCAGAGACTCTTCCCACAAATCTGCAAAGCTAGCTGTGCCCGACAGTGCTCTCTGCCTTTCGTTTTTCCAAGCCTCGAACTATAAAATTCACGCTGCTTTTGCAGACGCGCCCAGTCCCCAGAACCAAGTCAGCAGCTATCATCCTTGCCCACTTGACTTCCGATGTCGACTCACAAAAAGGCAGCGACAGCAGCGAGTGAGAAAGAAGCGTTCTCGTCTTGCCTTCGGCCACGCTTGTCATAGACGAGCAGCCACCATTCCTGTGTTCAAATCGAACTTCTGAGCATCCCAGAACTCCCAATGTCCAACTTGACCTTAAAGTTAAAGTTGCATAAACGCATACAATATCTTATCAGTGCTATGTACGTCCAACTTGAGATGACTAGTTTAAATCTATTGCATTGTGGCAGGAGGTTCTTTGAGCTTCTCAGCTGTCCCTCACAAATGCTTGTGGTGGACAGGCTGGCAGTTGACCGAAATGACATCATTCATGCGAGAAAATGCTTGAAGCGTATAATATCACGTGAGGGTGGGTTCAACATAGTTTTAAGCAATAGTTAGGCCTGAGACCAAGGCCTTGTTATGCTTGTGACTTGTTCCAATGTCTTTTCCAATGTGTCATGTTTTCTTGGTCTCAAGTGGACTCTGCAAAGGTTTCTTCCGGACCTCGTACTTGACGGCAGGAAAAAAAGGTGCGTGAACTGGACCGGCACATTCCGCTTTGGAGAGATTGGTTCTGGTGAGCGTGACCTGGCAAGGAGGAGCGTTTCTCCGAAGTCGCTGTATTTCTACCTTCAGCTAAAACAGAGATCTCAAGGGTGTAAAAAGTCGCCAGAGTCGCTGTGTAAATAGGGCATTAAAGAGGAGGAGAGAAAAAACAGAAGTACAGGCCCCTTGAAAGCGGGCCTTACCTTCTTTTTTCCTCTCTTGTTGAATAAAGACCGTGTATTGCGTTTGAGTTTGCATCAACACACCCAACCAGACATGCCTTCAGTGTGGACATGTCACCTTCAGCCATCTCTGCCTCATCATTCACCTGCCCACAATGACTTGATGCGAATTCCTTTTCATGAAAATAAATGCTAGAGGGCAAAAAGGAGAAGTCATCCAGCTGTCTGGGATCCTATCATCACCAAACATCTTGCATAACAATGCAAGAATCTTGCATTGTCTTGTTGCAACCATGTTGCTATTCATGCCTTTCAAGTATGGCTCGTGACAAATGAGTGAACATCTACACCAAACCAAGCGTAAACAAGGGTTTGTCAGAGCCTCCACTGTGTAGCTGAGCTCAACCAAAGGCACGTGCTGGCAAAAAGACTGGATGTCTAAGACCTGAATCGAACCAACGATACGCGAAAAGATTCAAGACAGACGCGACAAGAAGACAAGAAAACGAGCGAACCTGCTCCGCTGTCAAAGAGCCAAGCTGTTTCAGCAAAGACTTTTCTGGTGACCGCACCACCTGATAGGATCAAGAATGAAACAGGGCTGTGCCCGACAATTCTACCACTGTATTTCATTTTATTTCAGAGAAATCGAGCAGCCATTGATTCGATGTTTAGTATTTTGGTATATTTTGGTTCATTCTGTGTAAGCGTTCTTGTCAGACTTCCTTAATTCGCTCATGCGTGAATGAGCACGAGGCTTCCAACTCCCGCCTCATGAAAGCCTGGCGCTCCCTTTGGCACCGACCTGCCGCAAGTCTGCGAGTCTTTCTTGGTGTTTTCTGCTGTTTCATGTCTCTCGTCCTTTGTTTGATCTTCGAGAAAACCTGCCTGACATGGGGCAATTGCAGTAGTGGCGAATCATTGAAATCAATCGCCTGCAACTAGGACCAAGGATGCTACTAGGGGCTCCTGCCTTTACTACTAGGAGCAAGAACGCTACTAGGGGCTCTCGACTCCAGGCTCTAAAAAGAGAGAAGCGATCGATTCTCATGTCATGTCGTTCGATTACTGACAGACCTAGGTCCACGATCAGTAGGAAACAGCGCTGGACCTGAACCAAACAGCGCTGCAGCATAATGCAGCTGCGCACCACTTCTATGAAGCCTGCAGGTTGCAGCTTGAGATGAACACAGGTGGCTGGTTTGCGGCAAAATCATGAATTGAAAAATCGGAAAAACCTCATCGATATCAATGCGTTTCATCGATATCAATGGGATCTCTCTTATCCAGTCCAAGTCCACGGGACTGAGACATCCTCACCTGATCGGTCTCCCTCGCCATGTGATGCGATGGAAATCATTGCCTTTCAAAAACTCCGATGAAATCGGTGTTCGTGGTGCGATCTCTGAGGTGTTTCCATGAAGCGAAAGAAAGAATCGAATGAGATCCTTGGCGTTTCCTTTGTCTTTTCTTGCCAGAACAATTGCTTCCCATGCTTAAGGCTTATTTCGAAGTAGAGGCAGGAGATAATTGGGAATATTATCTCTAGAGCTTTCGAGTTAAACGATAGCGTTCGTGTTACGGGAAAGGGGGGTCATTGAGTCCAACTCCCTAGGCCTGCCAAGGTGCCAATAGGATGCAATAGGTCCAAAAACAAACAAACATGATGAAAAAGGGCAAAAGGAAACAAAAAAGATGAAACTAGAAGTGTTCTAGCTGTAGCTAGTGGAAAGAGGTAGTTCATTGCAAGACCAAAGGGCATAGAAAACGATCTTGTTTGTTTGCCCGCAGTGAAGCCCAGGAAAGCGCCGAATCCGCAGCTTAGGCTCCCAAACTCTGCAGAGCTTTGGCGTCTGCACCAAACGGTTTGTAAGCTCTGCCTGTTCGGCTCAGCCACAGACCCCGTCTCTTCAGCTTGAACAGCGAAAAAATGTGAAAAGCAAAATATTGGGCCTGTGCCATTGGTGACATATGCCTCATTTTCCCGAGACGTTGTGTTTTGCGAAGTCGACACCGAAAACCGACTTCAAGTCATCACGACGTTGCAGACGTTTAAAACCGCAAACGACTTGTCTTGGAGCTCAAGAGTCAAATCTCTCAAAGTGGACAAGCATGATCCAGCTCCATGCAACATTTCGTTGGACTTTTCGAGCAAACCTGCAAGCCCAGGTGCGGATGCATGCGTCGCATGTGCGCCCACAGCATGGCAGAGCCCCTTCGAATTGCCGGATCAGTGAAGGGACACGGAATCCTCACAACATGTGCTGCGCTGGACATTGCTAGCATGATAGGATATGATAGGCATACAAGTGAAACAAAACAGCATATTGTTGGTCAAATGGTAGAAGTGGTTCATTCTGCTCTAATTGATTGCAAAATGACACGTATTTACGTGTTACTTGCACGATTTCTAAACGTCCTTCCTTCACGCTGGTATCGAGGGACCGTGTTTTTCGCGATCTTCAAGTCTTCTATATTGATCTATATTGTGGTGTGTTGTGATGTCTCCTTGGCTCCGAAGAAGCCAGGACGGACTGAGGAAAGACCTTGGTCTGTACCTGTGCATGGCGGAATCTCGACACCGAAAGAACCTTGATCTGTCCTTTGTTACTACTAGTTTCTTCTTCCGAGTAGTAAGGCCAGGAGCCCCTAGTAGCGTCCTTGCTCCTAGTAGCGATGCCCTTTGTTACTATTAGCTTCTTGTTCCGAGTAGTACCTACTTTTTTTCACATGCAAAGAAATAGAGGTACACCTCCCTGGCGCTAGCGCTGATTCATTCGACCTTCCGTGGAAGTAGCAGCATCGGCACCCGAAGCTGCGGGGGCACGTCCTCGGGCTTCTGCGGTGGCCCGGAGGTTGGCCAAACCTGCACTGTGCGTTGCTCTTCGCGCGAACTTCGTGCTTCACTTCGTGCTTCGAGCGCTAAGAGGCGCCTCAACTTCACATCGGCCATCAGGGCCTTAGCAAAAAGAGCCTTCACTGCTGCCCCTCTGCGGAGAATGTCTCTTCAAAGATCTCATTCTCTCACATTCGCCAGGCCTTCCAAGAACTCGAACTCTAAATGATCTGAGCACAGCTCCTCTTCTTCGAAGAACACCACGGCGGCCTTTCCTGCAGCATCTTGGCTTCGTGCGTGGAGGCCAAATTGCTTCAAGGTTGAGATTATGCATCACATGATATCCATTGTCTGGGGATCCATACTGCTCACCACTGCTGGTATCCTGAAAGGTTGGAACTTAAAGCTGCCAAGTTGCCAAGAACCCAAAAAGTTTATATATGCTTCTGTCAACCACCAGAATCTCAGAATCCTCAATTTGTCAACGATTTTGCCTGCGTGAAGCGCACCAAAGTGCCAGATTGCATCGGCTCTGGATGACTCACAGACATTGCCTTCACAAAGGGACAAGAAGCGTTCTGTTTCACCGCATCAGCCGCGGTCACAAAATCAAATCCCATCGTTTTGGCATTACTACTGGTTTGGCATAGGGTTCGATTGAACATGGGAAGCTGGGGTCTGCTTCGCCGCTTCTGGTTCCACTCTGTTCCACCACCGATTGCGACTTCTTTGTGCATTGTTTTATACATGTAAAGAAAGGTACACCGAAAGCACATTAACAGCAATGGCCTCCAACCTAATAGGAATGGCCTCCAACCCAATAGAAATGGCCTCCGACCTAATAGCGATGGCCTCCATAATAAGCATATACCATCATATACCTGTGCCTTGTGACCTGTGCCTCTTCTTGAAGTGCCCTCTGTCGCTTGTAGCCGAACGGCCTCCATACAGGCTCTGGCGTCTGCGCACATCTGCCGACGTTCCTGGCCAAAGCTTGAGGCTGTCATCTCTCGCATGGGCAAGCAAGGGCGTTGGCTTTCGATGATGGTTCGTTCCCATTTGAGGTTCTTTACACAAAAAAGAAAGATACATGTCTCAAGCTACAGGTTGAACTCGTTCAGGAAGAGTCTGCCTCTGCTGCCGCTGCTAGCAAGCCAGGAGTGTCCTCCAGCATCACCTGAAAGCTCAACGCTCTCTACCAAAAGAGTGTACAATTTCTCGAAGCCAGGTTTCAGGCAAGACCAAAAGCAGCAAATGGGAAGTAGATGAGACAGAAAGCCCTTTTTATATCCGAAGAAGACAGGTCCAAAGACTCACTTCAAGTACGTCTTGCAAATCCAAGGCCGGGATCTGAAGCATTATACAAAGCCTATTGAGTTGTCGTGTTTGAAGGTACGAGCGAATAAATGATCACAT